TCCTAACCCCTAGCCTCGCTTTTGGGTGTTGTCGGCGGGGGTGTGTCGGTGCGAGATCCAATTCACAACCGTGTGGTTGTGCTGTTGGGAGGGATGATGGGATGGGTAACGATGGGATGGGTAACGGTGAGATGTTAATCAGTTCAAAGGCAGTTTGGATTAGCTGCTCTGGATATAATTGCGCAGCACTCCTAAATGATACTCTTGTTGTTTATTACTGCCTAAGTGTTTTTAAAAATAAAAAAAATAATAATAATAATTTATTAATAAAATTTTATATTTATTTTTAATTAAATATCATTTAAATAATATTTTTTGTTAAATATATATTATAATTATCTTTTAAAATAAAAATAAAATAAGAATCAATGCATTAGATAATATTTTAAAAAGAAAATAGATGGTTAAATTTAAATGCTCTGAATAGAATACTAGGTTTTAGAATAATAATAGGGAAGATGAAAATTTGGAATGAAAATTTGAGATGTCATGTTATTAAATTAGTTGATGTACAAAATATTATGGTTTTAAAAAAATAAAAAAAAATAAAAAAATTAATTATTAAATAATATAAAATCTACCTTTTAATATTTAAATATGTGACCTAAATCACATTATTAATCTCATATTTTGATCCTAAATTTTGGTCTATTTATCATTATTATTACTAAAATTAATGGTATGAAGCACTTCTTTGATTTAATTTTAGTAGTTTTATTTTAATCTTTTAATTTTTTAGACATTAATTTTAAATAAAAATTTCATATAAAACATATGAATGATAATTAAATTTTTTTAGTTATAGTTATATTGAGTGGTTTCTATTAATAAAAAAATTCATTAGTCATTTATATGCAAGTATACTCTTTTTTTATCCAATTTAGTTGTTTTAATTTAACTTTTATTTGAAATTTAACTATATAATTTTATATAGTAAATAAGTGATAATTATTTTTTTTCTTTTTATATGTAGTTTTTGTTAAATATTTTTACTTAGATAAAAAAAAGTTCAATTGCTATTTGTTTATTATATAAAATCATCAATTAATTTACATAAAGTTAAAGGATTATGGCAACTAAAAAAGACTACAGGGAGTGTTAAATTTTCTGTTGTGGTTGGAATTGTTATAAAGTGATATGATTGTGATTTTTTTCAGTATTTTATTATGAAAAAAATCATAGTCTTGTTTGATAATTATTTTGAAAAAAGTCTTATAATTAATATAGTCACTAAATTATATAAAGTATTAATTAAAATTAATTTAATTATAATAAATTAAAATTTTAATAGTGTTGTATGAAAAGACACTATATAAAAGCAATTCCAATCGCAACAATGTTCAAAAAATTTTTTAAAAATCAAAGTAAGAAAACTAAAATCTTAAAAAAGTTGCTTAAGGAAAAAAAGTTATGAATATATAAAATCAATCAAACTAACTATACTTTTAATCTATTTTGATTATGAAAGTTTATAGGTATTTCAAAAGAGAAATAATTGATATATCTTTTAGTTTAACATATTTTACAATATTTATTAATTCAGTCATTAAATTTTATAACTTTTAGTTTTTTTATTTTTTATTTAAATTTTTAAAAAATATTTTTTAATAAATATATTATAAAATCTATTAAATAAAAAAATATACTAATTATTATCCATTACAAAAAGCTAACACAAACATCACTTAAATACAAAACAATCTGATTCTATTAAATCAAACTAAT